TGTCTTTAATGGATGGTTATGTACCACAGAGCTTTAAGGTTGCTGTAATTAAACCTTTACTTAAGAAGTCTGATCTTGATTCAGAAATTCTGGCCAACTATAGATCTATATCTAATCTAACTTTCATCTAAAAAATTCTAGAGAAAATAGTTGCAGGTCAGTTGCGTGAACATCTACAAAGAAATAATCTGTTTGAAGAGTTTCAGTCAGGGTTTAGAGCTCATCATAGCAGTAAACAGTCCAGCCATTTCAGGGGTGAACATATGACACCATTGACCCACAAGCAGGTCTACTAGCTGGCAGGGGGCTGAGAACTCAAAAATGATGGAGAAGTGATCTGAGATTTGCACTTTTTGGCCAAAAGAGTGAGACTTCGCAGGAGGGGCAGAAGAGCCGGAGCGCTCATGCGTCTCCGGAGGCGTGGTACACGCAAGCCTTTACCTGGGATATTCTTCTCCAACATCCGTTCCCTCTACAATAAAATGGACGAGATAGCGCTGATGATGAGAAGGAACAGCGATTTTTCCTCCTCCTGTGTGCTGTGCTTCACGGAGACATGGCTCAACGAGCAGACCCTGGACTCCGCACTCCATCTCGAGGGTTTCCAGCTCCTCCGCTCTGACAGACAGCGGGAACTTTCCGGAGGAAAGAAGAAAGGCGGAGGAGTCTGTTTCTTTATCAACAACGCCTGGTGCTCCGACGTGACAGTGATCTCCCAGCACTGCTCTCCTTCTCTGGAATATCTCTTCATAAACTGCAAACCGTTCTACTCTCCACGTGAGTTCACTTCATTTATTCTGGCCGCTGTTTACATCCCACCCTGCGCGGACGTGCACGAGGCTGAGCGCGCGCTCGCGGACCAGATCACGAGTGTAGAGCGGACTTTTCCGGACTCCCTTGTTATCATCCTTGGAGATTTTAACAAAGCAAACCTCAGGCATGAACTACCTAAATATAAACAGTTTATTAAATGCCCGACCAGAGAAGGAAACACGCTGGATCACTGTTACACCACAGTGAGCGGTGCTTATCGCGCTGTGCCTCGTGCTGCCCTGGGTCTCTCAGATCATGAGATGATTCACCTCATACCTGCATACAGACAGAGACTGAAGCTCCCAAAACCTGTGGTGAGGACATCCAAAAAGTGGACCAGTGAAGCTGTGGAGGAGCTACGCACGTGTTTGGACACCACAGACTGGGACCTGTTCAGGGCTTCTACAGACAGTCTAGACGAATACACAAACACTGTGACGTCATATATACATTTCTGTGAGGACAGCATCATCCCATCACGCTCCAGAGTCATTTTCAATAATGATAAACCCTGGTTCACATCCAAACTAAGACAGCTTCGTCAGCAGAAGGAGGCTGCTTTCAGAGAGGGGGACAGAGACAACTACAGACGTGCAAAGTATGGATTTAGCAGGGAGGTGTCGAAGGCTAAATCCAGGTACAACGCACGGCTGCAACAACAGTTCTCTGCAAACGACTCTGCCTCTGTCTGGAGGGGCTGAAAGAGATAACAAGCCCAGAGCACCTCATTCTACAGACAATATCAAACTGGCAAATGATCTGAACGACTTCTATTCACGCTTTGAAGTCATGGACTCACATTCCTCCATCCTCCACACCACCCCCAGCCCAACTGGTTTAACCACTTGGGACTGCCCCCGACAACCCCCTGCTATCTCTGTACAAGAGGATGAAGTAAGGAGGCTTTTTTAAAAGGCTGAATACACGTAAGGCTGCAGGCCCAGACCTCGTGTCACCCTCCACGCTGAGACATTGTGCTGGAGAGTTGGCTTCGGTCTTCACAGGGATCTTCAACTCTTCTCTGGAGTCATGCCACGTCCCAGCCTGTTTCAAGTCCTCCATCATCGTCCCTGTCCCCAAGAAGCCACGTGTCACAGGACCAAATGACTACAGACCTGTAGCTCTCACGTCTGTAGTCATGAAAACCTTTGAACGCTTGGTTTCATCTCACCTCAAGTCCATCACCAACCCCCTCCTGGACCCCCTGCAGTTTGCCTACAGGGCCAACAGGTCTGTAGATGACGCAATAAACCTGGCTCTTCACTTCATCCTGCAGCACCTGGACTCCCCAGGAACCTACGCCAGGATCCTGTTCGTGGACTTCAGCTCCACATTTAACCCCATCCTCTGCGCTGCTCCAAGACAAGCTCTCCCTGCTCCATGTACCTGACTCCACCTGCAGGTGGATCACAGACTTCCTGACAGACCGGAGTCAGTGTGTGCGGCTGGGGAGAGCTGTCTCGGACACTCGGACTGTAAACACAGGATCTCCACAGGGCTGTGTGCTTTCCCCCCTGCTTTTCTCCCTGTACACCAACTGCTGCACCTCCAGCCATGACTCTGTGAAACTTATTAAGTTTGCAGATGACACCACCCTCATCGGGCTCATCTCGGACGGTGATGAGTCTGCATACAGGAGGGAGGTGGACCGGCTGGTGACCTGGTGCAGCAGCAACAACCTGGAACTCAATGCCCAGAAGACAGTGGAGATGATTGTGGATTTCAGGAAAGCCACAGCCCCTCTGCCCCCCCTCACCTGTAATGATACCCCCATCACCACTGCGAACTCTTATTGGTTCCTAGGCACCACCATCACCCAGGACCTCAAGTGGGAGCCGACCATCAGCTCCCTCATCAAGAAGGCCCAGCAGAGACTGTACTTCCTGCGACAGCTGAAGAAGGCCAAGCTGCCGGCCAAGCTGATGGTGCAGTTCTACACGGCCATCATGGAGTCCATCCTCAGCTCCTCCATCACGGTGTGGTACGCCGGGGCCACTGCCAGGGACAGACTCAGACCGCAGCGCGTTGTGCGTTCAGCTGAGAAGGTGATCGGCTGCAGCCTTCCATCCCTCCACGACCTGTACGTCTCCAGGACTGTGAGGCGAGCAGGTCGAATCACAGCTGACCCTGCTCACCCTGCACACGGACTGTTCGAACCACTCCCCTCAGGCAGGAGGCTTCGGTCCATTCGGACCAGAACCTCCCGCCATAAGAACAGTTTCTTCCCCTCTGCTGTTGGACTCCTGAACACTCATAATGCTGCCTCATAATTTCTGCTTTGGTCACATTACATCTGTTTTATAACTGAATACTCCATCTGTACTGTTCTCTAAGCTTTTTTATTTTATTGTTTTTTATTGTATGGGTGTACACATGTTTATGTTATGTTTTTAATTTTACTTTATTTGCGGATGTACACAGGTCTTATGTCTTATGTAATGTTCTCATTTTTACTTAATTTTTACTTTATTTTACTTTATTACTATTCGCACCTTATGTCGAAGCAAATTCCTAGTTTGTGAACCTCGTTCATTGACATGGCGATAATAAACTGATTCTGATTCTGAGATAGCAGACTCATATGTTTCATAAAGTGAGTTGGACAGCTCATGGGTAATACTAAGGTAAATGGTAAATGGACTGTACTTATATAGCACCTTTCTATCTTATCAAGATACTCAAAGCTTTACAACAATCTGTGCCTCATTGACCCATTCATACATCTCTCTACTAGATCTCTACAAAGCTAATTGAACTAATTCTAAAGAGACTAATCAGAGCTTTATCACATTCATACACCGATGGGACACACGTCAGAGGCTATGAGGGGTTCAGTGTCTTGCCCTGAGACCCTTCGGAATGTGAGTGCTGGTGGGTTAGAACCCCCAACTCTTGCATTGGAGGACAACTGCTCTAAATACTCAGCCACAGCCGCCCCCCATAGGTCCAAGTTATACCCACTAAGATATGCAAGTTCATATACAGACTGTGTTAAGTTAAAGAAAATAAAATATTTATATAATCAGAGGCTAACTGTTCAGAAGGGCGGTAAATATTAATATTAAAATCCCCAAAAATCAACATTCATCAAATCTTGGGATGAGTCGGCTAAAAATTCAGAAAAGTGTTGAATAAAATCCTTATTATATTTAGGAATATGATAGACAACAACAAATAATACAGGCTGTGGCAGCTCAGCCAAAAACAGCTGAAATAATGGTACATCTGAAGTTTTGCGCAAAAAAGAGTGTTTGCCACATTTTTGTGGTGTGTAACATGTAACTCTTTGTACATGAGGGCCCAAGACTTCAAGAACAAGAGCAATCGTCACCAAGGCAGGACACAAGAGGTTGGAATAGCGTTCAAAAACATCTGTGCCAAATAAAGGCTGGAGTCCCACAGTGAAAGTAGAAAACTTTAACAAGGGTTCCCGTGGAGATACTGTGGGACTTCCACATCCAGACTGACAGGTGATGGCTTACCAACTGGAAATGTTGGTTTTCAAACGAGGAACACAAGAAGCTGAAGAAATACCAAGGGCTCAGATCAGAAATAGATAAGTTGAGAAGTCAAGGTCTTAGTGATGCCAATGACCATCAGAACCCTTGGTGATGTGCCTTTAACTGGTCCCAGATCAAACTTAGATCTCTGTCCTTAATAGCCCCAATCTAGGGACATCCAAAATACTGCACAGAACCCTCACGTTCCCAGGCCTCCAGCAAAAGACCAGAGATTCAAGTGAAGTGGATTTTATTTACACACACACACACACACACACACACACACACACACACACACACACA